CTCACGCGCCTTTTCATCAACAAAATGGGCGCGGCGAGCAGCGCGTGCCCAGCGACGCGCCAAGGTTGCAGGCCAGCAGGCGCGGCGTCGGGCTCCGACGGGGCGCTGCCACCTGGCGCCTGGGAGCTGGCCGCGGCCTCACCTTCCACGTCCCCGCCCTCATCCTCGAACTCCGCTGGCCACTGCGGCCACTCGCCGAGGTCGATGAGCCTCAGCGCCACCACTCCCATGGAGTCGAGCATGCTCGTACGCGACAGCTGCACCTCGTGCGCGGCAGCGAACCGCGCCGCCAGGCGGGCCAGCGACAGGCAGCCCTCGACCACGAGGGTGTCGCCGAGGTTCGCCCTGGCCGCCGTCGCGTCCTGCTTGGCACGCCTGTCGGCCCGAGCGTTGCCACCCAGCTCGAACTGCGAGACTAGGCCGTCCACGACAGCCTTGGGGCCCTGGTGGGCCCTGACCTTTGCGACCGTTACGTCCTGCAGCTGCTCTGCTTGGCCAGCCCGAAGGTGCGCACGCTGGCCGCTGGCCGCGGCCGCTGCCGACGGGTTGGCCGCGCAACGCGCTGTGGCCATGCAGTCAATGTAGAGCCTATAGCTGCCCCCTGCCACCTGCGACGTGAGGACCTTCACCGCGTAGTCCTCGCCATCTCTGGCCAGCTGCTCGGGGGGGCACAGCAATCGGAGCCGCTCCCCACGCCTCCGCCACACGCCTGTAGGCCTCGTCGTAGATAACCGCGGACCAACCAGCGGTGCGCAGGCGCGGGCAGGCCTGGTCGAGGCCCGAGCCATCCACAAAGACGTGGTGCCCGTTGAGGTGCGGTCCCAAGGTGTACCAGCTCGTTGAACTCTCGAAGTAGTCCGCCTCTGGCCGAACAGGCCTATTCATAAACTCCGAAATGTCAGGGAAGAGGCCCCTGGCAAACAGGTCGGTGAACGGGAAGCCTAGGCCTTCCACTCGATCGGCGGCCCCGCGCAGCGGCTTCTCCAAGCAGTCACGCCTCCGAGCCCCGTGCGCCTCGCAACGAAACCGCCTGTGGAAAAGCGAGCCGTCCTTGAAACCGCAGAGCTGGCAATTGGACGGCGCCGCCCGCGAGCTGTCCGCCGCTGCCACTCTGGCCTGGCACCAGTAGGTGTTCTGGATGAGGCTGCGCAGCGCCCGCTGGTGGTGCTGGTCCCAGACCTGCGACCGATGACTGGCCATATCAAGGATCGGTTGCCAGAAGGGCGGAATGCACCAGCCCCACATGCTGGGACTCTGCCTGGCCACCTCCTCCAGCCCAATTGCGACGCGGCACTGCAGCGCCACCAGGCTGCCAAAGAAGGTGGGAGAGTGCCTCCTGACGTCGTAGGCTGCTCCTGTGCTGTCGTGAACCAGGTAGGGGTCGCCTTGCAAGAAGCCCCAGCCGACGCGATCCAATGTGAGGACCAGAGCGCTGATGGGGTCCTTGACCTGCCGCCAAGGATGCCGTTGCTGGGCGAGCTCCGTGCCCCTGGCCAGGCAGGGGCGGGCTGCCGCCTCAGGCAGCAGCGAGGCCCAGATCACCTCGACGTAGGCCATGAGCGCGGTCCTGGTGGCAATGGTCAGCGGCCTGGGCTAGGCTGGCAATCCCCAAGGCCGCTCCACGGGGCAAGCGCCCTCTCGCCTTGATCGCCCCGACACGCAGCTGGCGCAGCCTGCCATTCGGGACGCCCATGATGGCCGAGCCCCGAGTGGCCTTGGCCGCGGGGCCCGCGCGGTAGACCCTCGCACGGTCCAGCCCAGGGCGGAAAAGGCCGGTGAGCTTCCTGCCCTGAGCTCGCGCCTGTAGTTCTCGTGCGGCCGCCGTCGTGACGCGGCGGTGCGACCCTGAGATCGCGCCCCCGCCAAGGTCCCTGTGCATGCCCACAAATTCGTCTGGCCCGAGGTCCCGGCAAGGTTGCTGCATCAGCGCCTGGCGCAGCTCCTTGCTCGTGGCCAGCGCCTTGGTCTTGTGCCTGCTCAGTGGCAGGTTGGCCCCGCGCACCTTCTCGCAGAAGGCCCTGTGGGTGGCTCCCAGCTGCTGGGCCGCCATGGAGCGGGGCCCTGTGACGTGGGCCGAGACGTCATCCACCACGCTGAGCAGCCTGGCCATGGGCGTCGCCGCCGCCGCGGCCCGCAGGGCCGAGAGCAAAAGCAGCTTCGCCAGCGCCGTGGCGCAGGAGCAACCAGCCACGACCGTGCCGTTGGGCGTCACCGCCACGCTGAGGCAGGAGCTGATGCGCGCCCGCCGCGGCGCCAGGTAGGTGACGCAGAGGGCTCTGAGTAGCCCGAGGTCGAAGCCCCAGGCCCGCGCCGCCGCCGTGAGCTCGGCGTGGCCAATGTGCTCATAGTACTTCTGCAAATCCATGTAGATGGACGCGGCCTCCTCTTGCGCGTGCTTGGCGTGGGCTACAAAAACATTGTGGAGCCAAGCCGCCTTGTCACAACCTCGCGAAGCTGAGGTGCCCCAGAAGGGGGTTTGCTCCAGCGACCTCTCCCATTTGGCCGTGTAGCCCTGGCGCACCCTTGACCAGGCCCTGGCCATCAGCGGCATGAGCCCGATGGGCCGCTGCCCTCCATCGGGCTTCTGCAGGAAGACCATGATCACGGTCCACAGCTCGCCGCAGTAGGGAGCGCGCTCCCAGGCGTTGAGCAAGCTGGCGAGCCTGGCAGGGGTGTCCTCTCCCACCTCCAGCAGCAGCCGCGGGTGGAAGTTGTCCCAGCCAAGGCCCGTGTGCCTGGAGCACTTGCGCGCCGCAATCTTGATGTCGTCCACCGTGATCGGCGGCAGCGCCCACTCGCCGACGTCCCACAGGCCTGGGCGCCCCTGGCCGCTCCGACTGGGGTCAGACCAGAAGGGGGAGCCAGTCAGCTAGCGCCCTCTCAAGCGCAGGCTGGCCCACCAGTGCATGGTCGACCGAACCTGCCTCAAGGGCGGGGCTGGGCTCTCCGTGGGTCTTCTTGATAATCTCGTGGGCCAACGAACCTTGGCGTTCGAAAGCCTGCTCCGAGAAGTCGTCCCATTTGAGTTTGCTGGCCTTTGCATCCTCCTTGGTGTGCTTGGCCACAACCTGTTCCATCACGAGTAGGAATGTGTAGCCCAACTCCGTCTGGAGGCCCATCTCGCTCCAGAAACTCAGGAACACCGTGCCATCGAACATCGTGATGGACTGCTCCTGGCCCTGTAGCCGTTGGGGGCAGGTCGTTCGGCCCGATGGGACCCAAGTCCCACCTTCTCTTGGACAGGTGGCGCAGCGAAAGCCAGAGTTGGGTGACCTCTGACGCTCTTTCGAAGCGGTTCTCCTGAGGCCCTTGGACCTGCCCTTGTAGTACTTGGCTTCACTACTGGGCATGCCATGCAGCGCCTGCATTGCCTCCTCCGCTTGATCGAACCAGCCCCTGACTATTCCTTCTAGGCCTGGGCAGGGCGGGGGCCAGGGGAGGGTGACCATCAGCAGGTCGCGCCTGGTCCAGGCCTCCTCGTCGGCCTCGAACTCCAGCGCAAAGCCCTTCGGCGCGCGCTGCGTCTGGATCATGGGCCGCTTCCAGCAGCCACGCAACACCAGCATCACGGCCTGGTGCGGGCCGCTGGGGGTGTCCACGTGGCACTTGATGGAGTCCGCAAGGTCCTCCAGCACGCGCGAGATCACGAAGTAGTCGTACTCATTGTCATTGCATGTGCCCAGCCCTGGGGCCAGAACAACTCCTCCCATGAACTCAGGCCAGCCTGAGGTTGAGAGCTCGCTGGCCTCAATGTTCCAGTCACCACCAATGATGAAGGGCACGTCCAGGTGCGCGCACCACGAGTGAACGTCTTCCAGTAGCTGCCTGTTGGGCCCTTGGAGCCCGGTCGGGACCTCGAGGTACACTGAGATCATGGCAATCGTAGTGCCCTCGCCAACCGAGGCTCGACGAGCAATGAAGCGATGCTGGGCTCCATCCCAAGGTCGGAGGAATCTCGCGGTGCCAAGCAGCGTCGGGGATACTATGGCCACTCCCGACGAAACTGCCGCGGCGGCATCTCCAGTCCTGAGGACTCCTGAGGCTGCAAGAGTGTGGCCTCCTCGGCTGGCCCAACCATGGGCCTGCTCGACCGCCATGTTGGATGTGAACCGCGTCTCCTGGACGAACATCACGTGCGGTGCCATCTCCTTCTTACTCATCCACTCGTGGACACTGGAGGCCGTGTTCCACGTGTTGCCGTTGTAGGTGCGCACAATGAGCTTACCTTCCAGCTGCCCAGGCTTAGGTACCAGAGCACCCAGGCCGGGAAGCAGGCGATCTAGCTGCAGTGTCCCAGCCTGGGCCCCGAGACGCTCCCTCCTATTAAGCCCTTGGGCGCCAGGATGGCAGGCGGGGTCTGCGGTTCCCAGGCCTGTAGGCGCAGTCGCCGAGCCCGAAGACGCCATCATGGATGTAGTCGCGGAAGCCCGTCCTGGAGTCGCATGCCTTGGACCCCATGTGCCTCCATGTCGCTCATGTGGCTGGGCCTCTCCTTGCTGGTCAGGGCCGTGGGCCGCGCTTCCTCCCACTGCCGCGGGAATCGACCACCCCCCCGTCGGGGGCCGTGACAGTGGGGCACCTGGAGGAGGGGGCTGACATCCGCGCGTCCGCGGCTCCCTCAGTCCAGTTTGAAGCGTGCCAGGCCAGTCGTTGCTGGGAGAGGCCATGCCAATCCCAGACCTCGTCGTCTCCGCTGACGGCGTGCCCGACGAGCCGGTCGTCGCGGAGGCCAACCCTGGCGTCGCATTCAACGAGCTCCAGGTACCTCTGTGTCGCTCATGTGGCGGGGCCTCTCCCGTCTGGACGGGGCAGTGGGCTGCTCTTCCTCCCGCTGCCACGGGCATCGGCCGCCCCCCGTCGGGGGCCATGGCAGCGGGGCACCTGGAGGGGGAGGCTGCCATCCGCGCGTCCGCGGCTCCGTCACTCCTGTTTGAAGAGGCCCAGGCCGACCGTTGCAGGGAGAGGCCGTGTCAATCGCCGAACTCGCTGTACTCCATGTCGCCCACCGAGAAGGCGTGGCCGAACTGGTAGAGCGCGAGGGCGCGGGAGTGTGACGACAGGGGGCTGAATCCCTTTCCCCCGCGCCCCAATGTGCATCCACGCCCACGTGGCTACCCGCGGAGCTTAGCATCACCTGCAGCACCAGCAGGCCCTGGAGCAGCCTGGCCACCCACCTTGTGCTCGGCGCGCAGGCGGGCATTCTCCGAGGCAGAGGCTCCGAGCTTCGCCGCGCTGCGGCGAATCTGCTCCACCATGGCATCACCTGCTGCGGGTGCTGCTGCTGTCGCTGCAGCCGCAGGCTCCCGCTGTTCCCCAGCGGGCTCCTCGCTAGCAGGCGGGGTCGCGGGGGCCGTCGGCGACTCAGCCGCTGCCGCGGGAGTGGCCTGGCCATCCGCGGTGTCGTCGCCGATCTTCCGCTTCTTCTTGATCGCCTCCTCAGCTTCTTGCTTGATGCGTCGCAGCTGCTCCTGGCACTGCTGCTCGAAGTGCTGCTGGGCCGCCCGCATGATGTTGTGGCCCTCTGCGCAGAGGCGCTTGAGGTTCGCCTGGGCCCCCTCCTCAAGCTCGCCGAAATTCTCGAGGGACTCGGCGTCAAAGTTGAAGGTGAGCTGCTTGTCCACCTCCAGAAAGGGCGCTCCCACTCCCGACGCCTGAGCGCGACGGCGGAGGAGCTGGGCCTCCTCGGCCTGCGCTTCGGCGAGGTGGAGCGCACAGGTGTCGCGCCAGCTGCGACCGTCAGCCAACTGCGCCTCCGCCGCTGCCATGGCGTCTGCAGCGTCGTCAAGCTGGCGCCGGAAGTTGACTCGGCGGTCCGTAGCTGACTGCAGCTGCTGCTCCAACGTCTTCTCCGTAGCCGCTGGTGATGGCGGCCTGTATCCCCTCGCAGCATCCACCGCCTCACAAAGACGCGCGGGGATGTCGGGATCAGAGATGGCCAGCAGCAGGTCGAGCTCTGACCGCGACGAGGCCGACCAGGGCGCATCAGGGAAGCCGGTTCGGCCACCATATCCCAAGGCCGCGCCCCCCTTGCCACCGCCAGGCTCCGCGCCGATGCCGACCTTGCCGCCCTTCTTGCCACCCTTCGGCTGGGCCTTGCCTGCGCCGCTCCCTTTCGGCTCGCCGCCCTCTGCCCAGACGCCATGGCGAGGCGACGGCTTGGCAGGCGGGAGCGCAAGGCATTGGCCACAAAGCCAACAGGTCGGGTTCTTGCGGAAGTTCCACCTGTATCGGCACGCCGTGCAGATGACAAAGCCAGGAGGTGCCTTCTTCGGCGCCATCGGGAACTCGAGGGCGCCCGAGACTGCTCAGTCGCGGGGCGGCGACAGGCAGCAGCCAACGGGGGCGGACCCGTCGACTGGAACAAAACTGTCGGGCAGAGGCGCCCTGGCACTGGCCGCGGACTAGCGGTATCCACGTGTTCCCCTGTGGAACAAACCATCTTGAGCCAAAATGGCTACGGAGGGGGAGGAGGAGGAGGAGGAGGAGGAGGAGGAGGAGGAGGAGGAGGAGGAAGAGGAGGAGGAGGAGGAGGAGAGGAGGAGGAGAAGAAGAGCGAGGAGCGAGGTGGAGGAGGAGGAGGCGGAGGAGGTGGAGGAGTAGGGGGAGGAGGAGGAGGAGGCCGAGGAGGAGGAGCGAGGAGGAAGAGGAGGAGGAGCGAGGAGGAGGAGGCGGAGGAGGAGGAGGCTAGGAGGAGTGATGAGGATAGAGAAGGACCGAAGAGGAGGAGGCAGGAGGAGAAGCGAGGAGGAGCTCGGAGGAGGAGCAGGAGGAGGAGGCGGAGGAGGAGGAGCGAGGAGGAGCGAGGAGGAGCGAAGAGGAGCAAGGAGGAGTGAGGAGGAGCGAGGAGGAGCGAGGAGGAGGAGGAGGAGCAGGAGGGGGAGGAGGAGAAGGAGGAGGGAGGAGGAGGAGGAGGAGGAGCAGGAGGAGGATGATATAGGAGGAGGAGGAGGAGGACGAGCAAGGTGGAAGAAGGAGGAGGAGGACGAGCAAGGAGGAGATGTTGAGGAGGACCTTGCCGTGAGCTGCGGGTGGCAGACTTCGACAGAACACGGCGGCGCGAGGTGGGGTCCTCCTTCAATGAGCGATTCGCCAAGTTCCTCAAGGCCGCTCCCCCCGGGCCGGGCCTGCACCTTCTCCCTTGTACGGGGTCGGGGGAGGAGTAGGAGGAGGAGGAGGAAGCGGAGGAGGAGGAGGAGGAGGAGAAGGAGGAGAAGGAGGAGTTGGAGGAGGAGGAGGACGGAGAGAACGAGGAGGACATGGAATGGGAGGATGTGGAGGAGAAGGGAGGGAGGGAGGGAGGGAGGGAGAAGGGAGGAAGGTGGAGAAAGAGGAGGACCAGTGCAAACCCAAGAGTCATCACCGATGCTGGAAAACGCTTTCCCTCCAAGTTCCCTTGTCACAAACCCCTTACAACGGTTCATATCCATTGAGGGAACTGCCTCGTTGGAAGACAACCGTTTGCAGACCTTGAAGCATGCCAAGACATTGCTCTCGGGATTCCAACGCCACGGATCAACCTGTCTGCTGCGTCTTGACGATCCTGAGTCGTACCAGAACGCTTTTTTTTGACTTCAACACCGCGAATCAACGTAATTGCTGCACCCGCAAAGTCCAGAATCTTTCGAACAACAGCATTCCTGGTATGTTGATCATGGGAATCCGTACAGCTCTTGCAAACATGATTAGAGAATGTGCGCGGCGCTAAGGCGAGCGCCACATGTTGAAAAGGAACCGTCCTCAATCCGTGAAACACTTGCACATGTGTATAACGAACGTGCGCGGCGCTAAGGCAAGAACCGCATTTTGAAATCGGGTCGCCCTCAATCCGTGAAATTCTGGCAATAGTTGAACACGAATGTGCGCGGCGCTGAGGCGAGAGCCACATTTTGAAAACGGGTCGCCCTCAATCCGTGGATCTCTTGCAATTTTTGTAAAATGAGTGCTCGCGGCGCTAAGGCGAGAGCCACATGTCAAAAACGGCCCGCTCTCCACCTTTGAAGCTGTTACCAATTTTTAAGAATCATAGTTCTATATGAGGAAGTCTCAGGCGAAACCCCCGACCCGCCCTAACAATTGGCTTCGGGGTTCGACAGGGAGAAGTTATTTAGAAGGAAAGGAATGGAGGAGGAGGAGGATGAGTAGTAGTAGTAGTAGGAGGAGGAGGAGGAGGAGGAGGAGGAGGAGGAGGAGGAGTTGGAGGAGGAGGAGTTGGAGGAGGAGTTGGAGGAGGAGGAGGAGGAGGAGGAGGGAGGAGAAGGGAGGAGAAGGGAGGGTGGGAGGGAGGGAGGGAGGGAGAAGGGAGGAAGAGGAGGATGAGGATGAGGAGGAGGAGAAGGAGGAGGAGGAGGAGTAGGAGGAGGAGGAGGAGGAGCAGGAGCAGGAGCAAGAACAGGAGCAGGAGGAGCATTATGAGCAGGAGGAGCAGGAGGAGTAGGAGCAGCAGCAGGAGGACGAGGAGGGTGCTGACCTCCCCACGGGATGCAGCGTGCCCGATGCCTTGCCGCACCCCGCGCCGGAGATGGGGCCGATGGCTGCGGTCATACGGGCCGGTCGCCCCTCCCCCTGGGGGGGTGGGGGAGCTCTGTTCACAGGTGTAACAATAGGGACAGATAGGCATAGGGGGGGATGCATCGACCCCCAGTCGCCCATTGATCGCCGATAGGGGCCCGACAGCCCCGACCTGCCCAGGAAGGTGCCGATTCTCTATCGTAGGCCTATCGCCGATAAACGGGCGATGTATCGCCGATTCCAGGTCTATGTTTCCCCCCTATGCCAGTCCCCCCTTATCGTTGCCCCTCATGTTCCCAGGCTCGAGGCGGCACCTCTTTCCGTGTTGGCCGCGAGCCCTCTTTGGGTCTTTGGGCTTTTTCTCCTTCTTATACATATAACGGCGCACCGGGCTCGGGGCCGAGGGCCAGAACCTCGACCACAAATGTGGGGACCGGGGCCTGGGCCCGCCTCTGGGAGGCTTAAATTCGCCCCAGGGAGCCCTCAGACAGCAATCCCGGCGGCCCCAGGCGGTCTCGAGACACCGCCAAGACGCCGTCTAGGGGTCTCTGGCGACGGATGCGTTTCAAACTGCACCGGAGGCCCCCAAGACGCCCCAAGAGGCTTTTAAGATGCCGCGCAAAAGAGCCCCGAGACAGCGCCAGAGCCGCCCAAGACGGCGCAAGAGGGTCCCAAGAAGGCCCCAAGAGGGGCCCAAGAGAGGGAGACTGAAAAATCAAGCTCTCCGCCCCACGATGTTCCCAAGAGGCCCCAAGATGCCCCCAGGAAGCCCCCAAGAGGCCCCAAGAGGCCCCCAAGAGGCCCCAAGAGGCCCCCAAGAAGCCCACAATAGGCTCCAAGAGGCCCCGAGACGGCACCCAAAAGGCTTCAAAACTCTTTCTAAGAGGCCCCCAAAGAAATGCCAAGAAGGTCCCATGACGACTTCAAGAAGCAGTCCAGGATGCTCCGAGGAGGCCCCAAGAAGCTAGCTAGAACTTGAGCGCGCGCGAAGCGCGCGCGATGGTTCTAGTACCTCAAGAGAGGGAGCGCCCTCTCCCATTTGCGGTTCGGTTCGCTGCGGGGGTCCCCTGCATCGTCCTCGTCGGCACGCTGGATGCCACCCTCCGCCACCCGCAGGTGTGCAAGCAGGGACCTGCCAGGATGCCTTGGCATCGCTCGGGCGTGCGCATGTTTTGTTCGGCGAGGCCAGCGCCAGGACATTTGCACCATTTTGCAGCATCTCGGATCACCTTGAAGAACGAAGGCACGCAACCAAAGAACGCACGGGGAATGGACGTCCCAGCGATGGCAAGACGCGCCCGAGCAGTGCGCTGGCTGCTGCGCTGGCGAAGCATCTGCGGCAGTGCTGCGCCGAGGTTGACTTAGCGCATGATCCCAGAGTTTGTGACGATCGGGCAGGAAGGCGCCATGCAGCAGGCCATCCTGGATCCAGGGAACATTCACGAAGCAATCCTTAATTTCCTTCCTTAGCCATTTTGGCTCGAGCCATTTGTTTTGCCCAGTGAAGGTCTCCAAGTTGGTTTCGCGTCTTGTTCCCGGCTGGACAGCCCCCCACCGGCACATTCCGCGCCATGTTTCAGGCTGTTGAGGCGGCTCTCGCCGAGCAGGGGAAGGGGAAGGTGGCGCGCCCTGAGCCGGACGGGATCAGCTCTGCCCTCACGCGATGCCCAACGGAAGAGCTGCTCGCCTTCTCCGTCGGCGACGGCCAGGACGCCAACGCGCACGAGACGAGCTGGGGCGCCAACGCGCACGAGAAGAGCTGGGGCGCCACCGCGCTGCCGAAGAACGGCGACGAACCGGCGCTCCTCGAGGCGGCGTCCCTCGCCGACCCGCGTCCCCGCCCCCCCAGGCGCCTCAGGTCCGAGGTGTACTGGGAGCAGAAGGCCGCCGTCGCCGCCAGGTGGCCCGCACGTTCGCCTTAGGAGCTGGGCGTGAGGGCGCGTCGCCAGTGCCTCGACGAAGATTGGAGCGGTCTGGCCAGCAGCCGCGAAGCGCACCGCCTCGGGCCGGCGGCGCCCGCGGCGCCGGCGGCGGGGTGCGCCGAGGGCGGCGGCGCGGTCGGCAGCCCCGGGAGCCGGGCGGGCGCCATCTCGAGGGCGCTGCGCCGCGAGGCGCGCGGGCCCCCCGCGCCGCCGGTGTCGCCCTCAGCGGCGCTCGGGGCCGCTCCGAGCTCGCGCGGCTGATCTCGAGCAAAAGTCGGCGGTGAGCCCATGATCGTGCCGCCTGGCCAGGAGAGCCGCCAGCTAGGGGCGCCGTGATGTGCCGTCAGCGCCCGCCTGGCCGCGTGCATCGGGGGCAGCGGCCAGGGGCGCTTCCCTCAGTCCAGGGCGAGCCATGCACCTCGTGTCATTTGTGACGTCCTCTCGGCCGTCTGCTGCCCAGGTGACACCCAGCCCAGGGCCGACAAGCAGGACGCTTCTTGCCTTGCGCGCCAGACGCACGGCACGGACTGTTGTCCTAGAATTTTTTCAGTGATTCGGGGTGATCCAAAGGTTTACGCCAGTCCAGTGGGATATTGCGAATGCCTTACGGCCGGTGCCGCCGACCCTGAAGGGAGACGACGGCGACGGCGACGGCGACGGCGACGGCGACGGCGACGGCGACGGCGACGGCGACGGCGACGGCGACGGCGACGGCGACGGCCGGTGCCGCCGACCCTGAAGGGAGACGACGGCGACGGCGACGGCGACGGCGACGGCGACGGCGACGGCGACGGCGACGGCGACGGCGACGGCGACGGCGACGGCGACGGCGACGGTGACGGCGACGGCGACGGCGACGACGACGACGACGACGACGACGACGGCGGACGACGAAGCGGACGTGGGCCAGAGTCTTCAGGGATGGTTCTTGGGGTCTATTCGGAAGTCTCGGGGGCCTCTGGGGAGGAATTTTCGGGCCTCTTGGGAGCCTCTTGGGGGCCTCTTGGGCGCTTCTTGGGGGCATTTTCGGGCTTCCTGGGGAACTCTTGTTGGCCTCTTGGGGCCTCTGGGGAACCTCTAGGGGCCTCCTGGGAGCCTCTTGGGGCCGAAGGCTCGAAATGTTCATTCGGTTCCCATGTCTGGGCACGCTCTTGGAGCCGTCTTGGGGGCATCTGGGGCCGTCTTGGAGGCGTTTTGGGCTGTCTTGGGGTCCTCTTGGGCTGTTTTAGGGCCCTCTTCAAGAGGGCCCTGAAACAGCACTCTCAACTAGCAGCGCCCGCCTGGCCGCGTGCATCGGGGGCAGCGGCCAGGGGCGCTTCTCTCAGTCCAGGGCGAGCCATGCACCTCGTGTCATTTGTGCCGTCCTCTCGGCCGTCTGCCAGAGGCACGGCACGGATAGTTGTCCCAGATTTTTTTTGGTGATCCGGGGTGATCCAAAGGTTTTGTCAGCCACTCCACTGTTGAGTATGTTTCACGCCAGCCCAGTGGGATATTGCGAAGGCCTTACGGCCAGTGCCGCCGACCCTGAAGGGAGACGACGACGTCGACGACTTCGACGACGACGACGGCGGACGACGACGACGACGACGACGACGACGACGACGACGACGACGACGACGACGACGACGACGACGACGACGACGACGGCGACGGCAACGGCGACGGCGACGGCGACGGCGACGGCGACGGCGACGGCGACGGCGACGGAGCCGTCTTGGAGGCGTCTTGGCGGCATCTGGGGCCGTCTTGGAGGCGTTTTGGGCTGTCTTGGAGTCCTTTTGGGCTGTTTTAGGGCCCTCTTGGATGCTTCTTGGGCCGTCTTGGGGAGATCTTGAGGGCCTCTGGTGCCGTTTTGGAGCGGCGGGAAGTGGAAAAGGCGAGAGCGTCTAAATTTTTCAAAAACCAAACAGAAATCAATGAATTTGGCCTCTTGGGGCCCTCTCGGGAGTGTTCTTGGAAGCGTCTTGGGGCGTCCTGGAGGCCTCCTGGACAGTCTGGAGGGCGTGAAGGCATTTTGGACCGATCGTTTGGCGATTGGGGACCATCTTGGAAGTCTCGGCGGCCTCTTGGGGCACTCTTGGCCTGTCTTGGTATTTTCTGAGGCCCCAGGGCCCCTAGGGGGGAACGACCCCCCTGGGACCCCCCCCGCACTCCCCCAGGACCCCCCCCAGGACCCCCCCAAGACCAGCCCGGGACCTTCCTTTCCCCCGGCGCGGGGAAGGGACAAAAGGGAAGGGGTTTCCCTTCGACTCGATTACGACATTGCTAGATCTTTCTCTCGCTCGCTGACAAGCTTGGGGAGGAGGGGTGCAGGGGACGACTGAGACGACGACTGACGGAGAGGACGACTCGAACAGCTAAGCCCCTCACACACGCCGACAGGGTCGGCGGATTATGGAAGCGGTGCAGGGAATGATGTATGACCACGGTTTTGTCAGGCGCGCTGTTTGTACTGCGTGATGCGCAGCTCCATCCACAGCGTCAAGCGCACAATATGGGCGGAAAAATTTAAGCACGTGCTGCTGTGCAGTTTCGGTGTACGTCCGAGGAGAGACTGTCCTGCGGTTCTGGCACCACGTCTTACAAGTATGGTGTTGGCAAGAACGATTTAAATGCCACGCCCATCCTCGGTTGTGGCAGCAGTGTCTTTTGATGCCGCGCCGAGTGGGGGCGAGCCATGCACCTTCACCCTCCTCCTGCTCCGTCTGGGTTTCTTTGGAAGCGCCGCAGCGCCCACATTTGTTGTGCCGAGCCTCCGAGACCCTCTCAGAGGTTCGGGCACCCTGCCTTACCGCTGTGCCTCATCATCCTGGCTCTTCATGACGCGCGCAGCGGCGGCAACTCCCTGGTCTTCGTTCTGCTCCTTCTGCTCCTCCTCCTCCTGCTCCTGTGTCCCCGACCTTTCCTGGGCGCTTCGGCACTATTCCCTAAGCGAACGGGGCTCTCGCCGTGTTGCCCGGATATTTGCAATTGCTGGAAGTCTGCTATGACAACGTGCATTTCGATTGACAACGTGCATTTCGAAAGTGCCTCTCTTCGACTTAAAAGTGTTCGGCCCGACGCCGTTCCGTCGCCCCGCCGCCATTTCATCTAAATTCCTTTGGAAGCGCTGCAGCGCCCACATTTTTTAGGGCGGGCATTATCGCCACGTCCAGTTCGTGCCGAGCCTCAGGGACTTTTCTGCGGTTCTGGCACCATGTCGCACCGCTGTGGTGGTGGCAACAACTTGTTGTTCATAACCTTGCAGACGCGGCCAATACATTTTAATGTCGTTCCGACCGCGAGGGCAACGGCGAAGAAAAGAAAAGGCAAATTCTGTTTTCCCCGACTCGATCCGGCCGCACTACATCGACGTGCTCGTCACGTGCCCCGAGGTCCGTGCAAGGCACACGGCGGAAGGTTTTGAAACGATTTTTGGCCTCTGGGGGGCCCTCGCTGGGCCCTGGGACCCTCGAGAAAAGATCCCGCACGAACAGTCGGTCTTTGGGAATTGGTCTACAGTCAACGCGCCTGGTAAGGACGCGCGCCTTCATCTAGGGTACCCTTGTGTCCTTGCCTCTGAGGCCCGTCCTTGCCATTATCACTGGTCGCCCGCCGCCCTGAAAAACCCAACTTCGGCCTCCAAGGTTTTGCGTCCTTATCACCCGTCCTTAATACACGTTTTGACTGTAGAGTGCCAGGGACTCCGCATGGAAACAGCAAGACAGCAGAGGTTACGTCTCCGCTCGTCTTGCTCGGACCTTCTATCGACGAACAGCGCCCAACAGCGCGCGCGCGCGCCGCGCCCAATAGCGCCCGACAGCGCTCCATGCCGCCCGACAGGGTCTGATGGCGCCCAGATGGCGCCCGCCAACGCCTGCTGCGCGCCCTACGAGGAAGATGCACTGCACTGGTTGGCGCCATGGGGACGACCAGACGCTTCCGTGAGTTGCTCTCTGACGGGGGCCTGCCGCCCTGGCGGGGGCCAAGTGCGGTCGGTGTGGGGGGCCCCGGGTGTTCCTTGGGGCCCTCGTGTGCCGTCCTGGGGCCGTCCCGTGGGGCCTCTCGAGCCGTCCTGGGGCGATCCATGAATCCGTTCCAGAGCGTTCCCGTAATTACCCGGGGTTTCTTGGTGAGCGTGGGGGGTCCCCCCCCCAACGAGGGTCACCCTCGCCTCGTCGTCGCGCCGCGACGGTGGTCGGAGCGCCTTCGGCGCGCGGTGGCTGCCCGGGACGGGGGGTCGATGTGGGGCTGTCGGCGGGGGTGACGCCCCCCCCGACGCTCCTCAAGAAGCTCGGGGTGGCGCTTCCGGAACTCTGGCACGGCCGCGGCGCCCGAGGCATCCTCCGAGCCCGCTCGCTCTCAGAGCTCTCCGATTTTTGTTGGGGGGGTCCCATTTCAGTCTCGGCTCGGGTCCTCCTCCTCCACCTCCCCCTCCTGCTCCTCCTGCTCCTCCTCCTCCTCCTCCTCCTCCTCCTCCTCCTCCTCCTGCTCCTCCTCCTGCTCCTCCTCCTGCTCCTTCTCCTTCTCCTCCTCCTCCTCCTCCTCCTCCTCCTCCTCCTCCACCTCCTCCCCCTCCTCCTCCCCCTTCCTCCCCTCCTTGCGCGGAGCCCGCGCCGGCCCCCCCTCGGCGCGGCGGCTGCCGCGGGCTTCGGCCCCGAGCGCGGGGCCCCGGCGGGCCGCGGCACGCTGGGGCGCCCCTGCCGGGGGCCCCCTCCTCGGGGGGGGGGGGTGCGCGGGCTGCTGCGCTGGCGAGGCCTCCGCGGCAGTGCCGCGCCGAGGTCGGCCTGGCGCACGCAGAGCTCGGGGCGATCGGGCAGGGAGGCGCCGTGCAGCAGGGGCACCCGGGAGGCCATCCTCGGGGGGTGCAGACCCGTCCGCCCCTGGGTGGCCTCTTCTTCCCCCCCCCCCCTCCGCGGCCGCCTTGCGTCCCCGTCTTCCCCTCCGCGCACGCTGGCCAATTCGCTCTTCGGTGCCCCCTGTCTGGCTCTTTTGCTGGTGCAGCCAGCTCTGCCTCGCCG